TCTACCTATATATCTGTCTATCTGTCTGTCTATCTGTCTGTCTATCTGTCTGTCTATCTCTGTTTGTCTGTCTGTCTGTCTAAGGCTCTCTCTTTCCTATTCTGTCTGTCTGAAAGTACCAACACTAATTTCAGAATCAATCCCCGACCTTTGATATTGTTACTGTAACTATATAAAAAAGGTTTTACAGAATTCTTAACTTATAAAAAGAAACATTCACGCGGAGGTGGTTCCGTCGATAACCTAAATAACTATCATTGGCTCTCTCGACTGCTATTTGAGGAAATTACAACCTACCAGCTGATGTCACTTATGAAGTCAAGTTGAGTATTTGCCTTGTTGAGAGTCGGCAAGAAGGTCTCGACAGATATTACTGATTAAAAATTTTAGAATAGAAAAAAAATAATAAAGATTAGGCATATTGATTTCTTTTTATAGACCGTTTGATCTGCCCTAGGGTTTTAATAGTGTATACCTATAAAATACTAGAAGCTAAAAAATAAATAAATCCAAGATTATCAACAAAAATTAAATTAAGAACACCACAACTGCTCCAAAAAATAGTTCACCATTATTCCATTTTAGTTTCAATTTTTCCCCTCATTTGATGTGAATTATTTGCCATGAGGTTTACTGCGCTGGTCATTAATATGCAGATACTCACTGCACGTACTGAATTTAACCTCGGAATATATCATAAGACCATTTTATCGCTTTCCATAATATGCAAATATGCTTTGAGAAGCCTGATCTACCGAATCAGACAACAATTCAATAATTTAAGGAGCATATTAGTAATGTTTAAAAAAAATGGAAATCGTTCTAATAATCAGCACATTTGTCAACAACTAAGAAAGTTTAACAGTTCAAAAATATATATACATGTATCTGAAATGTGCAGGAAAGTAATTCGCGGCAAATCGCCCGTAGACTTTAGGAAAATACGACCGCGCTTTCAAACAACAGTAGCTATGAACGGACGAAAAATATCTATACCACGGAGATATTTGGGCCATTAACCTAACAACTCGAAATACGAAGGTATGTACGTGGCCAGTTATTTAACGGTTTTGCTATAAACTTTTAAAAAAGGAGGTGCAACTGTGATGTAATATAAGACATCAACTTTTACGAAAAATTTCCTGTAGCCTATAACTTTGGAACAAGATCCTTCCTCAGGTTAGTTATACAATTTATCTATCTGATTTTAAAGACATTTATAGACTCCATTTTCATTAAAATATGATATGTTTGATGTGATAATGTACTTAGGAATATTTAGAATTACTGATAGAATATATTTAACGATTTAGGCGCTGTGAAATCATAGCAGATACTCCTGTAATGATTAAAAAAATGTAACGGAATTAAACATATATTTTTATTATCGTTTGTCACTTCTATTCTCGCTCTCGCTCTCTCCCACTCTCAGTCTCTCTCCTCACCCCCTCCTTCCTCCCTCTCTCTCTCTCTCTCTCTCTCCTCTCTCTCTCTCTCTCTCTCTCTCTCTCTCTCTCTCTCTCTCTCTCTCTCTCTCTCTCTCTCTCTCTCTCTCTCTCTCTCTCTCATCTCTCTCTCTCTCTCTCCATCTCTTTCTCTCTCTCCATCTCTCTCTCTCTCTCCATCTCTCTCGCTCTCTCTTTCTCCATCTTTCTCTCTCTCCATCTTTTTCTCTCTCTCTCCATCTTTTTCTCTCTCTCTCTTTCTCTCTCTCTTTCTCCATCTATCTCTCTCTCTATCTCTCTCTCTCTCCATCTCTCTCTCCATCTCTCTCTCTCTCTCTCTCTCTCCATCTTTCTCTCTCTCTCCATCTTTCTCTCTATGGCTCCATCTCTCTCTCTCTCTCTGGCTCCATCTCTCTGTCTCTGTCTCTCTGTCACTCTCTCTCTCTCTCTCTCTCTCTCTCTCTCTCTCTCTCTCTCTCTCTCTCTCTCTCTCTCTCTCTCTCTCTCCTCTCTCTCTCTCATCTCTCTCTCTCTCTCTCCTCCATCTCTCTCTCTCTCTCTCTCTCTCTTTATTTCTTTGTATATATCTCTGTCTATCTCCGTTTATCTATCTCTCTGTCATCTATCTCTCTGTCTATCTGTCCTCTGTCTATCTATCTCTCTGTCTATCTGTCTGTCTATCTGTTGTCTGTCTGTCTGTCTAAGGCTCTCTCTTTCATATTCTGTCTGTCTGAAAGTACCAACACTAACTTCAGAATCAATCCCCGACCTTTGATATTGTTACTATAACTATATAAAAAGGTTTTACAGAATTCTTAACTTATAAAAAGAAACATTCACGCGGAGGTGGTTCCGTCGATAACCTAAATAACTATCATTGGCTCTCTCGACTGCTATTTGAGGAAATTACAACCTACCAGCTGATGTCACTTATGAAGTCAAGTTGAGTATTTGCCTTGTTGAGAGTCGGCAAGAAGGTCTCGACAGATATTACTGATTAAAAATTTTAGAATAGAAAAAAATATAAAGATTAGGCATATTGATTTCTTTTTATAGACCGTTTGATCTGCCCTAGGGTTTTATAGTGTATACCTATAAAAATACTAGAAGCTAAAAAATAAATAAATCCAAGATTATCAACAAAAATTAAATTAAGAACACCGCAACTGCTCAAAAAAAATAGTTCACCATTATTCCATTTTAGTTTCAATTTTTCCCCTCGTCTGATGTGAATTATTTGCCATGAGGTTTACTGCGCTGGTCATTAATATGCAGATACTCACTGCACGTACTGAATTTAACCTCGGAATATATCATAAGACAATTTTATCGCTTTCCATAATATGCAAATATGCTTTGAGAAGCCTGATCTACCGAATCAGACAATAATTTAATAATTTAAGGAGCATATTAGTAATGTTTAAAAAAAATGGAAATCGTTCTAATAATCAGCACATTTGTCAACAACTAAGAAAGTTTAACAGTTAAAAATTATATATACATGTATCTGAAATGTGCAGAAAGTAATTCGCGGCAAATCGCCCGTAGACTTTAGGAAAATACGACCGCGCTTTCAAACAACAGTAGCTATGAACGGACGAAAAATATCTATACCACGGAGATATTTGGGCCACTAACCTAAGAACTCGAAATACGAAGGTACGTACGTGGCCAGTTATTTAACGGTTTTGCTATAAACTTTTAAAAAAGGAGGTGCAACTGTGATGTAATATAAGACATCAACTTTTACGAAAATTTTCCTGTAGCCTATAACTTTGGAACAAGATCCTTCCTCAGGTTAGTTATACAATTTATCTATCTGATACTGTACTTAGGAATATTTAGAATTACTGATAGAATATATTTAACGATTTAGGCGCTGTGAAATCATAGCAGATACTCCTGTAATGATTTTAAAAATGTAACATGGAATTAAACATATATTTTTATTATCGTTTGTCACTTCTATTCTCGCTCTCGCTCTCTCCCACTCTCAGTCTCTCTCCTCACCCCCCCTCCTTCCTCCCTCTCTCTCTCTCCTCCCCCCCCCCTCTCTCTCTCTCTCTCTCTCTCTCTCTCTCTCTCTCTCTCTCTCTCTCTCTCTCTCTCCCTCTCTCTCTCTCTCTCTCTCTCTCTCTCTCTCCTCTCTCTCTCTCTCTCTCCATCTCTTCTCTCTCTCCATCTCTCTCTCTCTCTCCATCTCTCTCGCTCTCTCTTTCTCCATCTTTCTCTCTCTCTCCATCTTTTTCTCTCTCCCTCCATCTTTTTCTCTCTCTCTCCATCTCTCTCTCTTTCTCCATCTATCTCTCTCTCTATCTCTCTCTCTATCCATCTCTCTCTCCATCTCTCTCTCTCTCTCTCTCTCCATCTTTCTCTCTCTCTCCATCTTTCTCTCTATGGCTCCATCTCTCTCTCTCTGGCTCCATCTCTCTGTCTCTGTCTCTCTGTCTGTCTCTCTCTCTCTCTCTCTCTCTCTCTCTCTCTCTCTCTCTCCTCTCTCTCTCTCTCTCTCTCTCTCTCTCTCTCCTCTCTCTCTCCTCTCTCTCTCTCTCTCTCTCTCTCTCTCTCTCTCTCTCTCTCTCTCTTTATTTCTTTGTATATATCTCTGTCTATCTCCGTTTATCTATCTCTCTGTCAATCTATCTCTCTGTCTATCTGTCCCTCTGTCTATCTATCTCTCTGTCTATCTATCTCTCTGTCAATCTATCTCTCTGTCTATCTGTCCCTCTGTCTATCTATCTCCCTGTCTATCTATCTCTCTGTCTATCTATCTCCCTGTCTATCTATCTCTCTGTCTATCTATCTCCCTGTCTATCTATCTCTCTGTTTATCTATCTCTCTGAGTATTTATTCATCTATTTATCTATCCTTCTATCTATCTCTCTTTCTATCTATATCTCTTTTTATTTAACTCTCTCTCTCTCTCTCTGTCTATCTGTCCCTCTGTCTATCTATCTCTCTCTCTCTCTCTCTCTCTCTCTCTCTCTCTTCTCTCTCTCTCTCTCTCTCTCTCATCTCTCTCTCTCTCTTCCATCCTATTTATTGCACACACACTCTCATTCTCCTTTCACACTCACCCTCACGCCCCTTTTACCCTCATCCTCGCCCCCCCCCCCTCACCATCACCATCACCCTCACCCCTCTTCAGCCCTTCCTCAAACCCCTCACCCCCACACCCGTGAATCTCACCCGATCATTTTAGGTATTACACACACACTCTTACCCTTTTTTTCACATTCACTCTCACCCTTTTCACCCTCCTCCTCACCCTCACCCCCCCTTCACCCCCATCACCCCCCTTCACCCTCCTCCTCACCCTCACCCCCCCCCTTCACCCTCCTCCTCACCCTCACCCCCTTCTTTCACCCTCCTCCTCACCCTCACCCCCTTCTTTCACCCTCCTCCTCACCCTCACCTCACCCCCCCTTCACCCCCTCCTCATCCTCACTCCCCTCTTTCACCCTCACCTCCCTTCACCCCCTCCTCACCCCCTCCTCACCCTCACCCCCCCTCACTCCCCATCACCCCCCTTCACCCTCACCCCCTTAATCTTACCTGATCATCCTGGTTGTTGCAGTAAGTCTTAAGAGTGAGTTTGGACGAGCAGACGCTGCACTTAAAACATCCCGTGTGGAAAAAAGTGAAGTCCTTTAGCGGGCCGATGCGATCCACTTGGTACACGGTTCTCCCGCAGCGCAGACAGGCGTTCTCGTACAGGTTCATCATGCTCGCAGGCATG